CACAGTGGACATGTTTGATGCGTAGTATGTATGATATCATGTTGTCGTTGTGGACTATTGGAAAAGTAGAACTGGGTGAGAGGCAGAGTGCGGGTGGGGGAGGGACATCTAGCAATGTGGGGGCCTCTCCAAAGGAGAGGTGTTAAGTGGCCCCCCGCCGGGAGAGGGCTGTTTTCTGAGCAGAGACCACTTAGCACACATTGACCTGGATGGGGCAGAAGAGACCTCACAGAGAGCCTCATTCCTCAGCTGCAGGAGGAGAAGGAGGCCCAACCTTTCTTACTCACTACTGCAGTCCGGTCTCTGTCCATGCTGTTCCCGTGTAATCTGACAGCACCTTGTGAGATAGAAACCTGATATCCACTTCCCAACGGAGGGGCTCAGTCCCCTAGAGGAAAGACAGAGGTCACCACGTGCCCCCGTTTCTCCTGTGGCTCACTCCTTCCTAAAGGACTACAACTCCAAATCACTTCCCCAAATGCTCTGGATACCTGGGCTGGCCAAGACAGAAGGAACTGCTATGACAGGGAAAACCCTGCTGTGACCTCGGGAGCTAGTGGGCCAGGCCAGGAAAGGCTGTGGCTGAACCTTCCTCGGCAGCCACTTGCATCTTGGTGGAAGACTAAAGGTGTCCAGGGTCCTGGGACTGCTGCAAGGCTGTGCTCAGTGGTGCCTGGAAGTGTAGGCCTCAGCCCACCTGAGTCCTGTTTCTGGGGCTGGGCTTCCGGAGGGAGCCACTTGGGTAGAGAGGACACAGGAGTCTGCAGCCACGCATACCTTATTCCAGCTAAATTCTGGCACTGTAGTAGATTGAGGGCATTCACTCACAAGGACACCTACTTAAGGAGGATCCCTAAAGATCCAGACAGTTCATACTAAAGGTGCCAGCTCCCTGCTGGCCAGAGCGGGCCAGGCAAGGTGGCCTCCCTTGCCAGCTAGCTGCCAGCCTTCCTGTCAGCACTACAGCCAGTACAGGATCTGCTGACTAAATGAGCTCTGGAGCCAATACCTGTGTTTCTTTGTGTGTCTGATGGACATTTATGGCTCACCTACTTTGTGCTTACGCAGTGCAGGTCACGAGCTTCTGGCATGTCCAAGAATCTGCCTCTGTACCAGCAAATGGTGCTAGTCATGAAACATCTTTTTTGTTTTCTTTTGCTTTGTTTTGTTTTTTGGGGACAGGGTCTCTCTATGTGGCACAGGCTGGCCTCAAACTCACAACAATCCTGCCTCAGCCTCCTGAGTGCTGGGATTACAGGAGTGCAACACCACATCTGGCAGCATAAGAGAGTTTATCCATTTATTTTCTGTACCCATCACCCAGCCTATGACCTCTCTGCTTCCGGGTTACCCTCTGTTGTCCAGCCTCCTGGTACCCTCTGGGAGCAGGCTTAATATCATTCTGGGGAGAAAGTTGAAAGCCTCTCTGGGTGTGCTAGAGGCCTCAGAGCCTCTCCCTACTGCCTTCCTGATGTTCCTGCTTGAGTGCTTGTTTTAGGTCCCTGGACCTTCATATTTGCTATTTATTTCTTCTGCTTGCAGCAGCTTTTCCCTCTTCCGTCTCCTTCCTAGGCTGGTCAGGCCACCTTTCCCTAGGTGACCACAGATGGGTGGCCACAGGGGTTTGGCTACCCTATTCTTTGTCTAAGAGGTGCCTTGGCAGAAGGTCCAGTGGAAGCATCAGAATACACAGCCCCACGAGGAGCACATCAAGGGAACTTTGAAGGGGCAGGCTCAGAGGTGCGGTGGAATTGAACTAGAGTCCCCAGCCCAGTTCTAAGTTATGACACTGACACATGCCACTCTTCTGCCCCCAGGACCCCAGCCCTTTGCTGCCTTCTCTGTCCCCATTCCATAGGTCACCCTCTCACTCAGAGCAGTGGCCTCTAGATCCACTAGGCTGACTCCTCACCCCACCCAGCCCAACTGGTTTTGGAGCAAACTTAACCCTTTCTCTAGCAAGTGCAGCCTACCCTGCGGTTTGGGTGAGGGTGTTAGGGCGTTGCCATCTGTGACTCGTGGTGCAAAAGTGCCCATTATCCCCAGGCAAGGACCATTCCTTTGTACCCACTATAAAGAAGGGCCGGCAGGAGGAAAAGGATTATGTTCCTATCGAAAGACACTTGGCAAGGAGAGGGAAAAGGCTCAGGATACATTTTTTAAAAAAATATATTTAGGAGGCTGAGGAGAAGGCTCAGTAGGATAAATGCTTGACTGGAAAACACAAGGGTCTGAGTTCAATCTCCAGTTCCGCCAAAAAAAAAAAAAGTCTACCGGGTTTGATCCCTGGCCCCTAACCCCCGTGCATGCTGAGATGGCGACTGAGACAGGGAGTGATGTGCATGCCTGTAATCCCAACACTTGAAAGGCTGAAAACAGGAGGATTGGGGGTCTGCGTGGTGAGCCCAGGGTTTGAGGGCCAGCACAGCATGAGGTACTAGGGGTTGAACTCTGGTCCGTGCACTTACCAGGCAGGCTCTTAGGCTGCTGAGCTATCTCCCCAGCCATGGACAACTTTTTTTTTAATGTTTTATTTATTATTATTTTAAAAATAATTTTATTGAGAAAAATCAATGAGACAGTTTCACAACCGATTACTGGCACATTTACAGTAATTAATACACATGGACAACATTGAAGTAGGGGAAATGCCCACAGAGGATACCATTCTCCAGAGTGTCATGCCATCATGCCAGGCTGTGGCAGATTCTAGTCTCTTTTTCTGCACTTCCTCAGGCTCAGCTCTAGGGCTAGTAAATTTTGGGGTTCAACCCTCTTATCCACTTGTTTGCTGCCCACCAAATACCACCTGGCACTACCCTGTGCTCTGGACTGCCTGAAGAAGGCATCTGGGCCCACAGGCTTTCAGGCAATGACCAGTTTTGGACATACCAGCTAAGGTGGCTTGCTGGCTATATCTTAGCCAAACCACACCCCACTCAAAGTCCCTAGGAGTTTTTGCCCCCACCTCCTAGGGCTGGCACCTGCAGCAACATGAGGCCCTAAATGACCCCAGGAAGCCATCTGGTCCAGCCTCCCCTCCCTGGCAGTGTCTTGGTGGCCAGGGAAAGTGGCCTGTCTAATTCTCAGAAAGACCATTAGGGGCTCTTGAACTCTCCAGACTGTAGTGCAGGACTTGGGCTTCAGCAGCAACCCTGCTTGGAAAGCCACCTGGAAGCTACCCAAGGAGGTCCCAGCAGACCTGATCCAAGGGTGTGTGGAGGGTTCTCTTCTGCAGCGTTGGTCTCGGGCTGCTGTATTCCCTAGCAATGGCAAATCCACAATCAGCTTTTTCTAGGCAGATTAGAGCCAGGAAGCTTCAGAATCAGCTCAGTCCCTGAGTAAAATCTCAGGGTGCCTGTGTCCTACAGCAAGTTAAAGGTTTTCCTTGGCCTTTTTTTTTCTTCTTCCCCTCCCCCCCTCCAGAACCAGGGATTGAACTCAGGCTATTGCACTTGCCAGGCAAGCATTTATTCTACTGAGCTATCTCTCCTCCTTGGCCTTTTTCCTTCTGGGGCCCTTCTATGTCTCTCTTTCCCTTTTTTCCCCCTGTCCTTTCTTCCTGGGTAGCTCCAGCTCCCTCATTCAGTACCTCTACCCTGTCTCTATTTTTGTCTCTCTGTCTCTCCACTCTGTCTCTCCCTTTTCTCTCCTTCCCTCCTCTTTCATCTCCCCCTCCACCCCCTCTGGTTGAGCATGGGGCTAGGAACGCGGCAGAAGCCTCAACAAGCCCAGGCGGCTCTCCGGACCCTTGGTGCCCCCAGGGGCCAGTTTCTTGCTCTTCCCAACACATGCTGGGAGTGAGGACCAGCAGGGGCATCGGGTTTTGAGCCACGGGCACCTGTAGCCCAGATTAAAGGCCAGGAATGTCTGGCCCCCTGGCGAGGGACTTCCTCCAGCCATGTCCTCTGCCCCAGGAAGAGCCTGCCACTCATGGCCTGAGCAGGATTCTGGTGGCCCTTCTGCTATGATTCCCCGAGCAGGTCCTCACCTCACTCTTGTAGCCCCCGCTTCCTTCACCCAGGCCATGACTGCTGCAGGGCCCTGGGTGTCTTGTGTAGCTGGGGAGAGGGGTATAGAGAGGCAACTAGGACCTGGGTAAGACCCTGAGATCTGGCCACAATTTCAGCACCTCTCAGGGCTGAGATCAGAGAGAGAAAAACAGAGATGGGGGTGGGGGTGCTACGATTTTCTTTTCCTTTGGGGAGAGTAAGGTATGTGGATGACTGTTCTGTCCACACAGGACCCAAAGCCAGCTTGTAGTTCTCAGGTGAGTGAAGGGCCCAGGCCCGGGGGGGCAGGAGAGCTGGCAGTGCGGAAAGTCCTGGAGGCCCGGGCTGCTCCGGGCTAGGCTGCTGCGTTTCATCGGCTCCAAACAGTTCTGTCCCAAGGTCCAACAGGGTGTGCGAGTGGAGGGAGCCTCGAGGAGGAGAAAGTGACCCGACTTGGGGAGCAGGATGAGCCACTGGCCGGTGTCAGTTGCAGGAAATGCAAAGGCAGCGGGAGGTCCCCGACACCAATCTGATCCCTGACAAAAGATTCCCATGACACCGGTCTGCGGCCCAGGCCCCCGGCGCCGCCTGCGGCCAGACCTGCAGCCTCCGAGGACTCCTCTGCGTGCCTCTCAGACCAGGGCAGCGACCTCCTGCAGGCGCGGGAGGCTGGAGGCCGAGAAAGCTTGTGTCTCCAACCGGGTCCCGACCGCCCGCGCGGTTCTGCAAGCCTCCGCGGGCTCTGTGCTCGCGATTCGCAAGGTGCAAGTCCCTGGGGGCCTCGGTCCCCCGACGGAAAGGGCGCCACCCACTCGTGCCACGCCACCTGCCGCCACGCGAGCGCCCTCGACCTGGCCGGAGGCTTCACCCAAGTTTGCGGCGCGATGCCCTCCCCAAGCCCGAGCGGAGGCCGGGCGGAGGGCGTGATTGACGGCTCAACTACAGACTCATCTCCTACCTTAGGCCGCGCGCGCTGATTGGCTGCGCGCTGACATCCTCGAGCCCTGCTGCTCCGCGCCGGCTCGCGAGGGGGGCGGCCGCGGGTGGAGGTGCGCTCTGACAACCCGAAAGTCATTTCCAACCCCAAGTGGACTTCGTTCCAACTGTTGGGGGCGTCGCTCCCCCTCTTGATGGTCGCGGGCAAACTTCCTCCTCGGCGCCGCTTCTAATGGAGCCCCACCTGCTCGGGCTGCTCCTCGGCCTCCTGCTCGGTGGCACCGGGGTCCTCGCCGGCTACCCAATTTGGTGGTAAGACTCGCTCCCGCCTGCCCGGCCCGTGCCCGCCGCGCCGGGAGGTGGGGTCGCCGGCCGCGAGGGCCGCAGCGGGCCGGGCCCCGTCCCCCTTGCGCCCCAGCCCCCCGCCGCCCACCCTCCTGGATTTGCTGCCGGTGTCGCCTTCAGAATTCAACTCCTGGCTTCTTGGATAATCACCATTTTCCCTGCTCCCCGCCGCAGAGGCGGGAAGACTTTCCCCTGCTTGGAAGGTCTCCCATTCGGGATCCGAGTCCTCCACCCATCCCAATGTGGGGTCCCCGAAGACCCTCCGTGTGATTGCAGTTGGGTTTCTGGAAACCCAGCGCTGTCCCTGGGGCCCAGCCACTCCTCTTCTCCATTTTGGGGTCTTCATGGCAAAACCATCCTGCTCCTGCGTTGCCACCCCACCTCCGCGGCGCTTCGGTCAGATTTCCCCACAATGCCCCCCTTTGCCTTGGTATTTCAGACCCCCAAGGCTCCGGGGACCCCTAGGGCAGGGCAGTGGGGGGTTTCATCAGATTTCCCGGACTCTGCTCTAGATTAATTTTGAGCCTCTGGAGTGAATATGAAATTTGCTGATGCGAGGTGCCATTGAATTCGGTTGTATTCATTTCTTGCTTGTCCATCCGGGCGGGGGGGGGGTCCTCGAAAATGTAGTTGTTTGGGAGGGGTGGGCTTGTTGTTCTTTGACCAAAATCCCAGTTCTCCGTGTCACATTCGTTTCTTTTGGAAAACCGAGGACCGAGGAGAAAGGGAGAGGGAAAGGGGAATTCTGTTCCTGAGAAATGCGGATACAAAAGACATTTTAGTAAATAAGGCTAGGAACCCAGGCGCTGTGCTTGGGAGACTGCTGGCGTGGGGAGGTACCGACTGGGGAATAAACAGCCCTTTGGGAGCCCCAGCTCCAGGGGAACCCCTTATTTTTCGAGAGCCCTATTGCAACCCCCCTCCCCCCGCAGGTCCCGGGGGCCAGCCAGGAAGGCACACTGAAACCAGTTTTCTAAATTACACCCCGCCTTTCCCCAGCCTCCAGCCCCCTGCATTCCGGAAAACTTTAATTAAAGAATCTTCCCCTCCTGGACGTAGGAGAGCCCAGCCTGGGGGTGGGAGGTGAGGAGGAGAAGGAATTTGGGATCTGTAGTGAGAGGGGGCTGTGGCCCTGAGTGAAAGTCAGAAGTGGTTGGTTGCGTGTCCCCATTCTCCTGCTTGCCACTGCGAGCCTGGGAGGGGAACCAAGCCAGCAAGACTTGGGGGCCACACCCTGAGGCTCCCTCCAGTTGTTTGGGGTGGCAGCATTTGTGTCTGGCTGCTTAGGGGGTTCCTGAGATCGGGGGATGGATAGGAGCACAGCTTGCCAAAGACTCTTGTTGTAGGGCCCTGAGAGTCATCCCAGAATGACCCAGCTTTCCCCTGCCTGTGCCCCAGAACTGGCCTGAGGCCTCCTGCACATAAAGAAGCCTATGGGGTGATAGCAGGGGCAGCCAGGAATACCCCAGCAGAGAGTGCTGCCAGTTTGGAGAAGGCTGCCTCATTGGCCACTCCTGACCTGCTTTCTATCCCAGGGCTGAGGCTGGTTCTATTCAGTGTCTTCCCTGCCTTCTTGGTAGTCCAAGCAGTAGGAAGAGAAAGCATGAGGTGGCAGGGACAGAAGACAGCCACTTCCCTGCCCAATGGCCTGGAGGAGGCACATGCTGGGGTAGTGCCCATGGCAGCTGGTGGTTGTTGGTGGGGTCAGTGTGTAATGGTGTCTGGGAAACATCTAGATAAGATCCACTGAGTAGGGAGAAACACTGAGAAAACGTGGAAAGCTGAGATATCATACACATACTACTATATGTTTGGGGGCCTAGGGGGACAGGGATACTGCTTTGTTTATACTGAGGAGAGACCTCAGTGTGTGTGTGTGTGTGTGTGTGTGTGTGTGTGTGTGTTCTGGGTCTGTGACCCTAACAGCTGTCTCTGCACTGGTGTGCCTCTAGGCAGAGTGACTTGTGCCCGAGATTGGGCAGTTGTGCAGGTGGGATGTACCCGGAGACTCGAAGCCTATGGCAAGGTGTGCCGTGTCTCTGCACACCATGTCAGCAAGTGGCCAATTCTGTTAGGTGATGTGTGTGAAAGCGAGGGAGGGGGAAAGGAAGTGTAAAAGCTAGAAGTCCCTTTGCCCGTGGAAAGGTCTGTGCCTGTTTCTGCTTGTGACGTTTTGTGTAACTGTTAGTGACTGGGCATGTGAGTGTGCTGTCTCTGTGTGTGCATGCCCTCATGACAGAGTAGGGGAAGCCCCATGGGCGTCTTTGTGAATGACATCGGTGCGCATAGCTATGACCTGATTGTGCTTCTCAAGTGTGAACTTAGGTCCATGCTGTGTGCAGCCTGTGTTTAGCTTGCTGTGGCCCAGAGGTCTCAAGAGGTAGCTGCAAGGCAGGCACACTGAGCTGGAATTCCAAGCTGGGGTGGGTTGGCTGTTCCTTGAGATGAGCTTACCCTCTCTGCTTGAGGACTGAGGTCATTTTTCTTAGGTCTTGGAGCTGGGATGTCAGGTGGGTCAAGTCTCAGGACTAGATGGTGGATGGGTCTCCTGATTCCTGACCTCCCTCTACCTTCCCACGCAGGCCTGACCCCAGTCCTTTGGCCTCTGAGCCCAGCTTGTCTACTTCTTTGGCCTATCCAGTTCACACATTCTCCAGGAGGGACTGGTAGGGAAAATATTTCAGCTAAAATTTTTCTGTCCAGGTCTCCATCAAGGAAGGGCCCCATCCCAACAGGCTGACGGAACTGCAGGGAGATGTAAGGGGCAATGTGGCCCAGGGCATCCCAGACAGATGTCCATGCACCTTGGCACTGAGCCAAGGTGCATGGACAGCAGCCTTGATTTCTAGAACTCTCCATGTCAGTTCTAGTCTAGGGTTCTTGGTGGAGAAACTTTTCCTTCTTCTCTTGTTTGAGGGAAAGGAATTCACTTTCCTAAGGCCTAGCTTAGAAGCTGCTGTTCCTGAGCAGATGTCCTAAAGAGAGAGGCCTGTGCTGAGTGGCAGTTACAGCTCAGCCTGATGTTATGTGTCTAAGGATCCACCTCTCTGGCTCTTTATCCTCACCCTTCATTCAGGACCACCAGCCTGCCCTGCCTTTATTCATTTATCTATTTATTTGCCCTGCCTTTTAGCTTGGGCGAAAGTATCTCACTGAGGACATGGGCAGTGAGCTAGGAAAATAAGACCTGAGTTTGGAGCCAGGGAGATAGCTTGGTGGCAAAGAGACTACCTGGAAAAACATGAGGTCCTGAGTTCAACTCCTGGTACAACAAAACAAAACAGAGCAAAAACAGAGTTTCTGGTTTACTGCCCTGGGACCCCTCCCCCAACCCAAAAGCCCCGAACCCTTAAGCCCTGCCTCAGTTTCCCCTTGTACCTCTGCCTCCTCCCACCCTCTCCTCCCTCTACCCATCTCCCCTAGGCCTGTGAACATGTTCAGTCAAACCCCATGAGGGTCAGTAGGCTGGGCCCAGGGAGCACCTGGAGACTGCGGGGGAGGAAGGCCCCAGGCCAGGTGTTAACACTTGTAACAGGCAGGAATTACAGCTGGCTGGGACTGGGGCTGGGGCTGATCCCACAGACAGACAGATGAGCTGATACCGGAATGGATAGCCAGGCTTTAGCAGGGTGGTCTTCCTTCCAGGGCAAGCCTTGCCCTGGGGAAGGTGGCAGGGAAGTGAGTACAGGTCTTTCTGATGGACGGGAGTCCATGGTCCACCTGCTCACCCCACCCTCTGTGAGCTGGGGTTTGGGTCCACAGGAAACATAATTGGTGGCCGATGTGGTGGTATTCTTCTGGTGGGATCACATTTTCCTTTAAAAGAAAACAAACAGACAGAAACAGGCCCACAGTTTTAGTAATACCAGAAAGTGTGTCCTTGGAAGAAAATGCTTTAGTGTATGGGATGAGGTAGCTGGGAAGGGACAGTTGTCAAAGTTCTCCCAGAAGCTCTGAGCATTTTTACCAAGGGCACCGAGGCAGGAGGGGCCAAGAGGTGAGTGCTGGGTGGAGTCTGGACCCTGGTGAGCACAACTTGAAGGCTGAGGGCCTGAAGTGCCTTCCCTGGATCAGTCCTCCTGCTGGGAAGACCCCCTCATGTGGAGGTCAGATGAGGCAGGAGCTTCTGCAGGGATCTGTCATACAGACCCAGGCCACCCTCGCAGTCCAGCATCACTGAAAAAGGTGCAGGCTCTGAGCCAGAAGAGGCAGGCTGTGGGGGAAATCTCTATGGCAGATTCCGCCAAGTAAGTATCTTGGCTTCACTGGCCACAGAGTTCATGTGCTATCTGGGCAGACCTGGAGCTGAAGTGCCCTGGAAATGAGTGGGGACAGGGAGTTGTGACCCTGAGTTTTCTCTAGATCAAGAAGACACCTTTGCTGGAAGAGGTCTGGGCAAGAGACAAGGAGTCTGGAGTCTCTGGAGTCAGGGCACACGAGTGATTTTTTGTGGAGGAAGATACAGCTAATAGACTGTCTCTATTACAGAGTGAGTGAGGAAGAGGGGGCGGGTGAGGCATTGAGGAGCCTTCTCCCTATCCTGATGTTTTCTCCCAAAGCTTCCCCTCTAACTGGTAGAGAAGAGGTGCGCCCCACTCAAAGGTGGGGCTGCCTTATATTACATCTATATATTCATGGCATCTTTGTGCTGGAAACAGCTCGCACTGGCAGTGGAGAAGTCCTGTGTCTCAGTTCTGAGTTTTCCACCAAGCGGCTGTCACCCGGTATGACTATCTGTCTGGAGGGGTTCACTTTCCTTGACCACGCTGAGTCGTCCCTTCTGTCTCCCGAGTCACAGAGCTGTGGGAGGGCCTGGACTTGTCGCTGTGAAGCGTGGGCATTCACAGCAGACCCTCGGAGTCAGCCTTGGGCAGTGCGCCCCTGTATCTCTCACTGCACCCCCATTTGATCCAGATCTTGGAGCAGGCTGCCGGCTTACACTTCCAACCTCACCCCAAACACTCCAT